ATGGAGAGCTTCAGAGAGCCAAAAGCCTAGACATATTTCCAATATCCATTACATTTCAAAGAGGACCAGTTGCATACTTCAAGGGTTCTTGAATCACTGCTGTTTGTGCTTTTAAATTCTAACACAAAGGCAAGACGTGACAAAACTGTTACCGTTTTGCAGATCCTTAATAAAAGCAGATGTTACTTGTACAATGGTTTATAAAATGCTCAGGGTGCAGAACAGAAAGCAACCTAAGAGTGTCAGAGACTTTCAGTTTACCCCTTACAACACTTATCCTTCTGCCCAAAGAATAATGCTAGTTGTATATCCTGTGTGACTTTTGTGATGTATACTGTATTTAAGAATATTAATAGATAAGAACAGAAGAATGGATCTTATTGTGGTGCTGGAGTACTTCACCTAATTTGATTGCTTGGAGAATCCTTGAACATTTGTAATTTATGAATACTGGGAGAGTTTTCCCCACCTCTAGAGTAAATGTCCTTTTTGCTCTAGGAGCCACATTGTCAATAGTAAATCGGCTGGGGGGTCACACTGAAAATACGCACCAGTATCTCCTGTCCCTCCAGAGGCATGTCATATATATTCTGATAGACACAAGTCTCTATTAAGAAAAGCAATTTGAGGGGATGTTGTGACTGATTTAGCAGGAATACCTTAAGTTATTAAACCATAAGGGAATAAACAGTATTGATGTTCACACAATAAATTTTTACTTCAGGATTCATCTGCAGCAAGGCACTAGCCGTATTCATATAATTGTTGGTAGGAGCAGTTGAATGATAATCCTTGTCACCTCCCCTAAAATCCTGAAGGGGGCTACCTGCTACTGAGTTCTCTGGATGGCTCAGTAGACTACACATTATTACTGGAATTCAAGATCTAGTTTGAGATTCAGTCCTAAGAGAAGATGATCCCCTCTACTATTATTTACTTGGTTGTGTGGTTTGAAGACACAGTTTTGGAAAAAATGCAAATGGGACTGAACATTTCTCTATTATCCTCAGAGGCCACTGACCCAGCCATGAGGAGAAACTTCCCCATTGGGCCTCCAACCTTACCACTTCATGTAGCAGGGGAGTCTTACCTTATGATTGGCCCCCTTGTCCCCTGACTCTCAATGGTTGTTGTTGGTTTTTTTTTTATTATTATTATTATTATTTTATTATTATTATTATTATTATTATTATTATTATTCCATCTTGATGAGTTCCTGGGGTAGCCGGTGTTTGGGAAGTACATTTACTATTACTCCACTTTCCTCCTCTTCCCACAATCTCTCCTAGTTTGCGGGTATTTGCTTGAAATACCGTGCCTGGGCACTGGGCTAACTGAGCCTTGAACTGTTAAAGAATGTTCTGCCTGTTCCCCAACACACATTTGCTGAATTTTGTATGTGTAGATTAGGGGTGTGCAAAAAAAAAAAAAATTCGGCCCGATTTGGATTTGGCCGAACCGGGCAGAATCAATTTCGGCCGGCAGAAAGCCTCCCACATGTCAATTTCGGCAGTATGAGCCCATTCAGGAGTCTTTCAGCCAGGCCGATTTCCCAGAAGCCCTGGTCCATGCTTGCTCTTCCCTTTTGCCTCGATGGTGTGTGTCAATTTCACACATGCTGCTGCATGGCTGCATTTTGCCCTGGAGCTTCGCGCGATTTTCCACGCGTCTACTCAATCCTCAAAAAAAAGAAAAAAGGATTGAATAGATGTGGGGGAAATCACGCGAAGCTGTGGGGCAAAATGCGGCTGTGCAGCAGCTTGTGTGAAATTCACACGTACCAACGGGGCAAAAGGGAAGAGCGAGTGTGGAGCAGGGTTTGTGGGAAATTGGTCCCAGTTGAATGTAAATTTCAGCCCTATTATAGCCCATGGGCCATTGAAGTAAATGGTGAAAACATAGGGCATATTCTGGGGGCTGGAAGGGAGGTGGTTTGAGGGAAAGGCTCCAAACTCGCAAGGTAGCTGACGGAGCCTCTCTCCGAGATACCCACCAAGGTTCAAGAACATTGAACCAGGGGGTCCAATTCTATGGGCCCCCAAACAGATTGCCCCCATCCCTGCCATTGTTCTCTATAGTGGGGGGAAAAGTTACTTTTCCCCCACCATAGATGAACCAAATGCACATGCCTAGTGTAGATTTCTTAAGTTCATGTTATTTAAGCGAATGGAATGAACACCTAGTTGCTGGGGTGTGTGTGTGTGTGATGATTGCACATACTCCACTATATAACATAAAATGTCTGCCATAAAATTATATTCTTGAATCTTTGACTGCAGAAAGCCTTGCGACCTGACATGGGCTACAATACTTTAGCCAACTTTCGAATAGAGAAGAAGATTGGCCGTGGACAATTCAGTGAAGTTTACAGAGCCACATGCTTGCTGGATGGTGTGCCAGTAGCCTTAAAAAAAGTGCAGGTAAGGATCTGTAGAGTGATACATATGAAAAATTCAGCTACTGGTTTTGTTGGGTTATACATAAACAAGGACACTGGGATGGTGACGAGAAGAACAGTATAGAAACCTGCTATGCTAGACTTCAGTGTCATATTCTACCTTGGTTTTACTGCTCTTTGGTTCTATCATGTTTGCAGCTGCTTTGCAGTCTTTGGTTTGCAGCTGCTTTGTAGGTGGAGCCTTGGTATTCTTCTCTGGTTGTGATTGTTTTTCTATTGCTGAATAGTTCTGTTTTATGTAACTTTATTGGCTTGGAGCCTAAGCAATGTGACCAGTCATGCTAGAGGAAGACAGTTTCCCCACCCTGCTCTTCTCACTGCAGCCTTTTGTACTTTCCAAAATTGTGGTTCTGCAGGTCATTGGACCTAAAGGAACAGTGTGGGGAGCAAACTGTGAGTCTGCCTCAGGTCAACGGAATCTGCAAAAATGGTTCGCTCCTCGTTCACAGACAGGAAAACTGCTGTTGGAGAAGCTGCCACTGTATTGATGGGATGGGACTTTTGGGGCCAAGCCATTGTTTTAAAATATATGACTATTTTTAGGGGGTTTTTTTTGTTGTACCCTGCCTTAAGTGCTTTTAGCTACAAGGGTGGGGTAAATTTTTATAACTAAATGCTACATAGGAAATGAAAACTAAAGAGGCACACAATTTTCTAATGGAAGCGAGACTTGAAAAACCACAGCTGTCTTACTATCATTTATTTATATTATCAGGGAACTAACAAGGTTTTTGTTTTTCCCCCCACTTTTTTTTTAACAATAAATTTTATTAAGAATTTCATGCATACAGAAAAAGAAATACAAACAGTTCCAACAGGAAAGTCCAAATACAAAGCAAGAGTATTGCAAACACCATATTCCTATAACCTTTCAACATTCCAATTTTAATTATATAATAATAACTTGTACTTAACATTACTAAGATTCTCCTAGTCAAATTTATCAATATTGATTTTATCCAACAAAGGATACCAAGCATGAAGTGGGCTCATCAGTTCGCACTCCGTTTGAATTTCAGAGTGAAACGTATTAAAATTTTCTAATAAGAATAAGTCCCACACCTTATGTAGCCAGTGTTGTATACTTGGAGGTTTTGGGTCTTTCCATTGTTTGGCAACAACTATTTTTGCTGCCGTGAGTAAAGTACCCACCAACTTTTTACTAGATAGTGAAAACCCGTCCGCAGACCATAGATTCAATAAAATTAAGGCTGGATCCCACGGTACCTCATAACCAGTTAGCTCTTTGATCTTTCGAATGACAAGTAGCCAAAAATTTTCTATCACCTTGCACTCCCACCAACAGTGATAATAAGTCGCTTTTTCCCCACATTGTTTCCAGCATGAGGGTTTCATTTGAGGAATCATATGTGTCAGTCTGGCTGGGGTAAGATACCATTGAGTAAGAACTTTCATGTTCGCTTCAAAAACATAGAGGGATTTAGAAAGTTTAGTCTGTCTGAGTTTTCCAGATTCGATCCCATTGATCCTCTGAAATCTGTCTATTTAGATCTGTTGACCAGGCTTGTTGGTAGCTTAGTGAAGATTTCAGTAGCGGGGCTTGAAGCATTTTATATATTTTTGCTATTAAACCTTTTTTCTTGTGTTTTAAGTATAGAAGTCTTTCAAAGTCTGTCAAGGGCCTAGCCAGAGAGTGTTTAAAGGCTGAATTTTCTATGAAACCTCTTTTTGGGGGGGCTAGATTCTAAACCAGTTATGCTGGCTGTACTGATGCCTAGGGATTAGAACAATGCTGTTGCACCAAATCAGCCTTGTTATAAAACCGTCCAGAGCAGAAAATGTGTAAGACTGGCAATGAATTGCAGTATCTTTTTTTAAAGAAAAAACACACCCTCAAAGCACTAGAGAAACACCTTAGCCTTCTTTCAATAGAACCAGCCTATAGACTTGTGCAGGAAACCACCTACTCACCATATTGCTCAAATTATTTCAGGAGGCCGCTGTATTTGTTATGAACAGCCCCCCCCCCCCCCGCTACTATTTGCAGTGGTCAAAATGGAAGTGACGTACTCCAAAATAATCTCAGTGGCAACCTTTGCACAGTGAAATCGTCAAGCCCATCCTACTCTGTCACGTGTCATTCCAAGGCCATCACTATTTTTGTAGTCTTCTACACAAACCACAGTATGGAACCTTTCAAAGCTTTGATTAGGGAACCAGCCACTCTTCCTGCTTCATTTGGATAGGAAGGGATGTCCCTCCATGCCTGCTTCAAAGTGCAGGCAAGCCTTTCCGTGCTCAGTGCATGTCAGGTGCCTTAGGAAATTAGTGACAAAGGGACCTTCTCTGGGTTTTGTTACTTCTTGAGCTCTTTTCCTTTTTCTGCCTTGTTAGGTTTCATTCTTTTGCTACTGTTTAATAAATACATAGTAATGTAACTTCATTTTCCTTTCTCTGGATTATTTTCCTCTCTCCATTCCATGTGTTTTTAGTTCATCAGATGATTTTTTCAAGAAGAACAGACCAACCCTACATAATTTTGTTTCAGTCAGTCATCTCCCTTTTGTTACGTTGCCTTCGGGGATCCATCCTGTTACTTAGCAAGACACTTGGGTAGCTTGTGGTACTGATGCTCTGTGCAGCATATTATGGTGGTATTCTGGTAGATGGGGTTTTGGACCCCATCCGATCTGAAGCATTTTTTGGCTAGTGCCTTCTGGATCAGTTATGCTCAGTTAAGCAAAAATATAGGATTAAACCCTGTCATTTATTTTTACAAAGGTTGTTCAAATCAAATTATTTACTCATCAGCAAACTTTCTGTCTGGAAGTCTATGAAGGATTAAAATGTTGCTTAAATTCTCCCAACTTGCTTGCATGTTGCAAAGTATCTTTTTTAAAAAAAAACAAAGCTGTCAGACAAATCTAAGTTATAAGCTCTTTTGTTGCATTGTAAGTGGGGTAGGGTATCATTAAATCACAGCATAAATTGTCAAAAGGGGCACAGCTAAGTAAAGCTTGCTGTTCTTTACTAAACTTTTTTTAAACTTAAGAATGTAATAGGATATATAATTGCCCAGCAAGTAAGTTTTTGTTTTTGGTGTTGAACTCTGTAATTCTTAGCCAGCCTCATCTATTCAGGTATTAAGAAGGCTGAAACGCTTCACCAAAATTCTGCCCACTAATTCCATAGCATTTTGTGCCTTATACAGTTCCATGTTTTGTCTTTCTCATTTCAGCTCTTAATACCTCGTGTTAGGGGATCATAAAAGGATTCCTTTGATCTAGCACATGAATTAATTATTCATTGTTCGTTGTCAGTGAATTGCCTCTTGAGGATTAAATTAGAACTAATTAATCTTAAAGAAGAATTTCTAGTTTTATACTGTTGAAAACAGTAACTAGCTATTTTGTTAGGCTGGTTGGGTATCTTTCTATTGCTTACATTCCTATAGGTAATTTGCTACCCCACATCAGGATTCAGAAGCATCAAGAACCTAGAATGGAAAATCACAGTAGCAATTCAAAATTCCCATATCCATAACTCAAAACCCATGGATATACATCCTTTACCAAAACTATATATATTCACCTAGGTGTAAATACCCCACATTCCATCCCCCCTTTATCTCTCATCCCAAAGATTCCTTCACTAAATTTAATCCCTCCAATATAAACCATCCCTTCTCCCCAAGGAAAACCCTTACCCATTCTCACACTTGCCACCATCTTCTCATTAACCCAGCTCTTTCCACCAGAAAAGAGAATTTTCTTCCCTAAGTGAAAATGTCCAAAATACAAAAGAAAGAATGTATGTGCCTATGAAAGAGTTCTGAAACTTTTCTTCCCTTTTAAAGTCTTCTAGAACTCTTCTGGGTGGGTGGGTACAGAGGAGATGATTTCTGGCCTCTTTTTCAAGTGTGCATCAGTAAAATTTCAGAGAGTTATGTGAATGTAGTGACTTGCACAAAAATATGCAGACCGTCTTAATTTGTTGTTAGATTTTATGTTCAAAACTCTTGGTAACGTATTGGGCAGTATATTGTCTTGTGCTTTTTCAGTTCCTACAGACTTTCTTGAAAATTCTTAGTATTTTTTAAGGCTTTCCAAGTAGAAAAGTGGTTGTATTTGTATTCAGCTGCAACATGCAGGTGATGAAACAAACAGCATTTACAATGCATCCATAGTTAGTGTACTTTGGATCCTTGTAACAAATAGATATAAGAAATTTTAAAAGGTCTTCTTGATGCCCTCATTAGTATGTGACTAATTGTTTTCAGGAGACTTAGGTGTAGATACTAAGTGGAATGCGCAAGCTTATATTAAGATATGTTGTCAGAGGCTTTTAGGGCCAGAGTTCATTAGTTGTTGTAGATTTTCCGGGCTGTATGGCCGTGGTCTTGGCATTGTAGTACCTGACATTTCACCAGCATCTGTGACTGGCATCCTCAGAGGTATAACACAGAAAGATGGAGTATTCTCTATGTCTGTATTATTGGACTCTTTGTGAGAAAAGTAAAAATTGCATAAAATATTTCAAATTAGAATTGTAGATGACCAAATCAGTAACTAGGAGCACTGCAATTAAAGTATTCTCTAGCATTTGAAGCTCCTTTGTTGGCTGATATTAGTCAAAGAGAACTGATGTGTTTGTCATAAAACTGCAAGTCTGCAATAGTTAGGGATTGCTCAGGGAAATGGTAACACAACCTTATTAATAGTGTGTTAATGGGCTCCTCTATAGTAAACCACAAACAAATAGCAACTTCTATTAAATAGTAATCGGGCCTTTTGGAATTCTCCTCAGGCAATCAGTTTAATCGGTACCAGGTGTGTGTGTTGCTTGGATAAACTTGAAAGGATGTCCGTAAGCATTTAAACTCCTTGAAAAAAGAAGCATGGTCTCTCTCTCTCTCCCTGTACAATTTTAATACTATGCATTTCCCCACTGGTAAAATCTTCATCTGCAGATTGAAGAAAACTTTAGTATAGATAAAATGGA